AGAGATTTCTTAATTATTTCGTGAATCAAAACTGTGACAAATATAGTAAATGTAGTAGCTTAGCTATTAGTCATCCTCTAAACTAAAGTACTTTACTGTCTTGTCCCATGGTTACCGACGAACTGTAATTAATTTTCATGCTGCAACTGAATACAGAGAATATTATATATGATGTTTATATAGCTTATACAGTGTATACAGAATGTATGCGTATTATAGACAAATCCCGTATGCTTCATGTCTCTACACTGTCGTATTCCCTTTACTTTATAAATATGAATTAATAATTAATTACTACTCTATAGAACCTTAATAAGATATCGTTGATTGAATCCTTCAAATCAGTAGAAGTTATCCCAAGAGCAATGAGGGCAAAATTGAAAAAAGAACGGAAGCAAGGAAAGAAAAGAGAGAAACTTTCTCGTTGCCTAAATCGATTCAAATCTTTTCTCTCTCTCCCCCCTCGCTCTCCACCCTTTTGCTCTCTCTCTCTCTCTCTCTCTCTGTTTATTTCTTATGGTTAAGAACGCGAATAGATAACTATACAGCGCAAGGGAATTCGCTTTTTTTTCCGAATCTATCTATTCAATAGTTTGTTGAAAAGGAAATAATGAAATCTCTTCATTTTCCTATAAATAAACATTTGGAATTTATCCAAGTCATAAAAGAAAAAATTGATAAAATAAAAGAGCAAACAAAAAGTCAGATTTAAAAAAAAATTGAAAATGCCAAACACGTAATGGCGTAAAGATAGCTGTTATTTGCTAAGGGAATTTGGGAGTGACGGAGGGACAAAGTCTAAAACAACGATTTTGTAGTCTGTTGCAGTAGCTATTAATGTTCTATATGCAGTAAAAAAAAGTGACGCCTGCAGTCGTATTTCGCTTGAATTATTTATAATCGTAGTTTGTTCAAGAAAAAAAAAATCTAACTCAAAAGTAGTAGAATTAGCTTGATCAATAATGACGGCAGCTTTTTTAGAAAATTGATGAAGCGTCGCGTCAATGTATACACGTTTGCTGTCAAAATAATGAAACGTGCGGGTTCTTTCATCAAATTTGAATAGTTTCTGCAATGTATACTCTATTATTGCCGTACTTGTCGCTCAGGTGTTAATTTTTTCTTATCTTTTAATAGTTCGTTTACAATTTGATATAAACATGGAAATTTTTGTCAATGCCATATTGGAATTTTATCCGAGTCGACAACTGCAATACCGCAATGAAATGTACACTGTATTTTCTTGTAGAAGGGAAGGAGTTCAATAAATCTCAAATTACAACTACGATACTGGGGAAAATCACGCAGACGTATTAAATAGTATAATATTTTTCATCGCTTTATACATTTTATTTATTATTTAATACTACTGTAGTGTTTTTTATTAACTAGTACAAAGTGTATAATTATTAATAATCTTTTAAAATGAACTAGTAAATGGGGGATAAAGTAAATAGAGGAATAGGAGAGAAAACTATTAAGAACAAACTGTGAAGTTTTAATATAATAATGGAAAGATTAAGAAAATATCTAAACAATAAATATTAGGGGACCACATAAAAGACAATATTTATATAATATTATATCCGTAAAGTATTTTCTTTCGTACGCTTTTGTTATTCTTAGTGATTCTCGCCTGAGGCTGAAAATGTTACTTTATAACATACCAACGGAAAATTTTGCTGTTAAATTTTAGTATATTAATATTCTTAGGCCAAAGACAAACAAAAGAGAATGTAATTTAATTATTATTTATGCTGGAAGGGGTAATAATACAGTTTGCCATACGAAAAGAGGTTAAGATATTGCTCACGCCTTGTTGGAACTAAAAAAAAAATTCCGTTAGTTTGGATCAATATGGCCTTTTGTTCAACGTCGATCATCATACTGAAAAAAAAGAGTTCTGCAATACTCGTCAAGACCTTTTCTTTTTATCTAACTCTTTTTCCACTTTTCGATCAAGGCAAAAGAAAAATTTAAAAACTATTTAGTTAAAAGTCGAGTAGTTCTCTAGTGAAGTTTTCCTTGATGGAATGCACTCATTTAGCAATCAATATTCGATTTATTGCATTATCACTCAAGTAAATTTTCTGCTGAAGACAATCGGAAATTGGGAAGACTAAGGAATAAAGAGAGAGAGAGAGAGATAGAGAGAAATCACTAACTAGACATTTAGTTTACTGAGAGAGAGTGAAAAATCTCTTAAAGTGTATAGGTAGTGTATCTATGTGTGTGTGTGTATGTGCGTGTTTTCGTTTGATGGAACGCTCAGGGCAAATATCTAGGCAGTTCGCTTTCTTCCCTTTTACTCCTCTCTTTGTTTTCGATTACATAATCTTCTTGAAGATTTTCTTTAAAGGGTTTCGAAGCAAAGTAACGCTCAAGGTTATTTTTTAAAAGTATAGATAAGAAGGTAAGAAAGCTTATTCTTCAACTGAAAAATTTATAGCCAACCTCTCTTTAAATGTAAATAGATAGCTTTTTGCCTGTTATTCGAATAAATATAAATTTCTATATCCTGTTTACGTTCAAGTCACCATTCAAGGGGTTAATGAAAAAAAATAAAGAACTAACTATTCAAAATTAACTTAATAACCCTTTACTTATGCAGTATATATTTTTAATTCTTAAAGAGTATACCTTTTTCTTTCCCTTCCCTCATACCTTTCCTTTTTTTTCCGATTCGTGACTAATTTCAATTTTCGAAGGAAATTTAAAATGAAAGAAAATTCAATCATACGTAAAACTGTAAAATGAGGTATTGAAAGTCTGACATTTGCCATAAAATTTCTTTTCCAAAGCTCTTTTTTTTCTGGATAAAATAAGGAGGGAAAAGGAAAAAAATTCACACACAGATATATATATATATATATATACAGTATATTAGTAGTACAATTATTTATAGTTAACTTATTTAAACTATTCAAGATTTGTTACAGTTTTTTTTAAAAAAAAAAAATAACGAAAAGAAAGTTATGCTTAAAAAAAAAATTGACGCAGTCCCTTCTGTAGTTTTCTTAAATCTGCTTTTATTTAATTACGGTACAACAAAATCAATTTGTAAACAAGCACGCGAATCTATAAACACTTTTGACCGACAAATGAAACATTCTTGCAATAGGGAAGAGAAAGATAAATAAAGGAATATATTTGTTTATTGGTCAAGTATCCTTTATTATGAATGAAAATTTATCTGCAAATTGTTTATTAGAGTATAAAAAGTTTATTAGTAAAACCATTACGGTTAACTAATCTACTCGTTTATCAGTGTAAAGTTAGTAGGAATTTTTTCTCAGCATGGATTCCCCATTTCTTATCATTATTAACAATATGTTATCTGATGGGAATAGGGTACCGGATTAAGATCGTTATCGTTGTATCGTTATTTCTCCAATTTTCCAGCCTATCTTTCGAAATCGAAACCGGTTTTCTGTTTCATTTATCTGACCTATTGGACTCGCGTTTTCTAATTAAAATAAACACCGGGATTTAATTAACTTTACTCTTGTTCATTGAGGTCAGAAAATACTTCTAAGGCTTGAAAAAGTATTCCACATCTAATTAAAAATTTACCATATTTCACAATCGTCGAAAATAGATAAAATACCATTTTTTGCGTTGTACAAACAATTTTACCATATTTATTCTGACGTTTAAATTGCTTAATATTGATAAATAACTACCGTTTTTTTTCTTTCTTTGTCAACAGAGCAAAATTTTGTAGCCAATAATTGCAAAATTGGGAAAGAATTGCACGGAATATGGTACGATGTTCAAAAAATGCAATACTTTTCAATCAATCAAATAAACTGGTCGAAAAAGGAAGAATGCATTGCAGAAGAAAGGAGATCGTCCGATAGCGTTAAATATTATATTAAAACTAAAGAGTAAGTGTATTTTTATCCTTTTCTTTTGCTTTTGAGAAACGAAACTTACAAGGACTCTTTCGTCGTCCAACTGAGGATAAAAAAATTCCCATCCTATAAATCTAATGAACGTTACTCGATTGATGCTCATTTTATAGGAATAATTGGTTAGTTCCGCATCCTCTTTGTCCACCTTATTTTACGCAGGCCAAAAAATTTATTTTCTAAATGAATAGAAAAGATATATTAGGCCTACATTGTAAGTTAGAAGAATTGGTATTCGTTAGTTTTCCATTGATAGCATAGTCTAAGAGATAAATTAATTTATGATGAATGTTGCGAAAACGAAAATTGATAAATGATGTTGCAAAGGGAAAAAGTAACTAGCATAGAAGAGATACTAACAAAATGGGAGGAGAAAAAGAGGTTTGAGGAAGGACACACACTTAAAATAGAGAAATGTTGAAATAGAATAGTACCTAGAAGAGTATTTAAAGAGTTATCCTAAAAAGCATTATTGTAATAACACAACAATTTACCATGTATGCACTCTTTACTAGGCTTAGTAATATTAAAATTTCATACTTTTAACAGCGTGTTTGCCTTTGATGTTTTTACGATTATTGTTTATCTTTTGAAAGGAAACTGCTATAGTATTGTGTTAATTGGAGGCTTTTTGTAGGATTATTATTAATAATTTCATGATTTTATTGAAGTTAGAAATATCGTTATAAATGTATATTTCGAGAAATATCTTCCCCAATAATAATGAAAGAGAAAAGCTGCTAGATGTATTTAAATAGTTAATAAAGATTTTTGATAAATTCACTTATAAAATCTTTGATTTAAGCAATAATTTAATATAATGGCCTTTTGTAAATAGGCACAGTCTGATTAAATATTTTTAGTGTCGCCTTTCGTTAAATGAATTTATAAGAAATGTATATTTTATTTTCAGATTTTATAATAAAGGAAATATTTTCTCTTTAATTAATTAAATTTAATAAAAGTGTACGAAATTAGAAACTTCTATTTGCATAAATAATTGAATTTTACATGGTAATTATTATCAAATAGCGTTTTAATTATGTACAAAGCTTACTTAATAAACATTTTGTTTCTTTTCTAGCTGAATATCAATATATAATAGCTTATTCTTATTCTTTTATATTTATATATAGATATATGTTTATAAATGTAGTAGTACATATATAAATATACTTTATATGTATATTATATATGTAAACAGTTCTATAAAGTTGACTATATGCTCTAATCGCATCAATGTCAAAGCACCTGCCACAATGGTCAGGAAAAATCTATTTTCCATTGAAAATAATCCAGTTTACGTAGCATTCGTTGACGTACCGATGATTGCGTAATCGAATAAATGCTTGAAAAGTATTATAATAAAGGAGACGTATAACGAAACGACCGAATGATAAATTAGTTAAAATTGCTTTATTGCATGACAAACAAATATTTATAAACAAAAGGCTAAAAAGAAAAGAACTGTAATGGGTAGTGCGCTATTATACCAGTTTGCTAATTGCTCCCTTTTTTTCACGTTTGCCTATACATGAAAGAGTTCGTCTACATTGTCTTTGATTTTCATAATTTTCCTTTTATTTCTTATTCTATTTTATTACTGTTATCTTCCCTTACAGTTTTGAAGACAATCCTGCCGTGCAGGTGAAGCTAATTTTAGAAGTTCATAAGAACGTCTTCTTTTACAAAGAGAGCAACTTCTATCCCGATTTAAACATAGAAGTTTCTAAATATTCGGCCAGACATATTGAATTTGGCCACATATTTATGGCAGTAAGAAGTAAGTAACGAAATCCTTTTGATATATTCGATTGAGTGATTCAATATGGTAATAGATAGGATGGAGAAAATATAGTAAAATCAATTGGAAACTAGGGTTGTACTATTTTTATCTTGGAAACTTTTTTCTCTTGTTTATATTTACAAAGATCCAACAACGAAATAAGTTGGGTGAATAATGACGTAGTTCCCCTTTATAATATAGTTTTCGGTTTCGTAAAGTGGCTACCCTGGGAAATTAGTGTTATTATTCATAAACCCCAAAATACCGTATCTGTCTTGTGTCAACTTTAAAAGCAAAGGCCAGTTAGGATGCGCATTATTTCATTTATTCGTTTATGTAAACGCCACCCGCCCCTAATTCGGCTATAGCTCATACCTAATGCGTAGAAAAGGTCAAGATAAGGTTAGGAGCTGTTTTCCTTTGTTTTATAATAACATTTAATGAAAATTCCATCAGTTTGTTACCTTCTAATTAGTTTTTTAGTACCAAATTGCTCAGCTTGTGAGAAAAAATCCATTCCATGAATCGTTTATTTTAATTTTCCTGTTACGAAATGAATAAATTAACGCACAGTAGGACACTTAAATTCCATATGTGCGTACGCGCGTGTATGTACAAGGTTTTTTTCTCCTTTTATCATTACGATTGATATATATCCAACAGAGAGCTGTCTATTTTTTTTTTATAAGAGAGGTTTTTTGTAACTTTCTCTTTATTTTTTACGATTTTCATCTTACCTTCAACCCTCCCTCATCCTAAAAAAAAAGCGTAGTACAAAGAATGTTTTCCCCTTCATTTCCCTTTTTTCTAATGAAAAATTCTCTATCCTTCTGTCTGCCTGTCTATCTCTCAGCCTATATTGTTTTTCTCAATCTTTAAAGAAAGTATTGTTTGTTTTTTCTTTTTTGAAGTAAGATTCGGAAAGAAAAATATAGGCAATCGTTTCACTCCGTCGTTTTGCAGATGGGATAAGCTTTAAAGTTGTAATATTTGATCAATAGCACTCTCTACTTTTTATAGTTCTTATCTATAATTAGAATATTAGAAAAGTCAAGATTTTTGTTATCCCTTCGACATTTAAAGATGTGATTTAGTATTGATATATCATACATATTTTAACCTTGATAGCTTTCGTAATTTCCCAGTAAACTCTTGGGAATTAGATGGCTGTCTTGGCCACAATCTGTACGATAATCGATTTATAACTATTAGGCTAAAGGAGATTTTCCTTTTGATTTTTGCTTAAAAACTTCAATACTTATTTTTATGTATCCTTAAATAGATGAAACTGAAATGGAACCATACAAAAAAAATCTATGCCCTATCGATAAAAATTACAAAGCAAACCTCAATTTAATTGAGTTTCCAGAAGAATGTCCGAATTCACGAGTTTATCAATGTGCTAACGGAAAAGAGTTAAAAATTCAACAATCTTGTATGAAGAAGAGTAAGTAGAAAGAGTAAAATAGGTCTATTTGATTAATACCAGTCAGATTTAATAAAATACTTATTTCATATGCTCTTTCAATGCCATGATTGCTTACAGAATCCCTTCAACTATATTGCTTGGGCTGGTGGAAGAAACCAGGTTCTAATAAGAAAATTGGGGTTGTAAGACATGGGGATACAAAACCACCAAATTATAAGTGCTTCGTTAGTAACATTTTAATAGAGCTTTTATCATGCCAATCGTACTTATCATTATAATCCAATAGCATGCATCGAGATCTGATAACGTAGAAACGTTGGTAACATTCAATCAAGGTATTCATATGGATTTGTGCGAGGCGGAACCAAGGGATTATTATAGTAGAGACGTCTACACTTTTAGGAAGTTGGATGATTCAACTTGGAGTAAGATGATTTGTCGATTTCCCTCTTGGTTCGAGAGGCGGAAGTGGGTAGACATGTTGGGTAGATATCGGTACGAGACTTGGAATACCGATAAGGAATTAAGAGAGAAATTGATTGATGGTGACGGAACGAGGACATTTAGATGTGTGGGAATTCGCTCTGATGACGATCATTTTATAATCCATAGTGCAACATCCTCTTCATGGTCAGTTTATGTTTTTTCTGTCTATTATGTAATTACATTTCCTAGACGTCCCTAAACCTAATTGTAAAGCTTCGTACAACTGCAATTTCATAATGAATCGCGGGAATATTTAAAAATCAGTCTGCGAATTGTTATAGGCTTGATATTTATCATTCATTCATCATAGAGCTATATAATTTTCTGATATACATATAAACTAGCTAGACTATTGTTGTAGGGAAAAAGATATTTGCAGTCTCCAGTATATTGAATAATCATCAAGTTCTATTAGAGAAATCTCAAGGACGATTGAATAAAGCTTCAGACAAAGGAGATATATCTCCTTAATTGTTTTTTTTTTAAAAGAAAAAAAATTATATAAATTTCTTTTCTATTTTTTATTGCAGTGCAAATAAATTGTATAAAACTTATGCTAAAACAATGTATAATGCAGTATATATTGTATTATATATATATATATACAGTATAGATACATATATAACCAAACACTTAAATATTCACCATGGACAACTAAGTATTTAAAAAGTAAACGTTTTAACACCAGAACTTTTTTTAACGTGTTACCAATCAATACGGAAGAAATAAGAGAAACTAGTAATGGAATTCACTACTGGCCTCAAATTATCCAACTGTTATTATTACTTAAGATATAGAAAAAAAATTTATATAGAAATCTATTTCTAGGCCTAAAAATATCGAGCTTGTAAGAAAACAAGTTGGTTTTATGTATATATATAAAATAACCATCACATAGTGCATATAGTACTATATGCACTATATATACAGTATATTTATATATATTTATATTTATATTTGCATTTTTAATGTTCATCAATACGCAACATGTTCATCTTTTACAAACAAAACTTTACTTCTTTTCGTATAAATACGTTATTGAACGAAAATTTTTTGTTTCCAAGCCTTTCTCTCTTCTATTTATCTATCTATCTCTCTCTCTTACTGTCTCTTTATATATTTTTTTCTTTTTTAGTGATCCGATCATGCACTGCATCAAAGGAATTCGCAGAGGTGACAAACTCGTTGAACTATTAATCGGCTCGCATCTTCGGGAGGAAGATCGTTGGGATTGTGAAAAGTCTTTGATGAAAACTGAAAAGAAGATTTTATTAGGTAGGCGGAAAACTTTCATCTACTACTCTGTCAGGGTGGCGGATTGGCCACGTGCTGATATTTCCTATTTTCTATTCCATCTTTCTCTATATATTCACATAAAAATAAAAAAAAGTCGCGTGCCGTCGTGCGATTCTTGACCCGTCACTTTTTCTTTAAAGTAAGTAGTGGCCTTAGACGTACATGCCACCTGGGACCTCATCAATCGTCCGATGAAATCTGTTAAAAATGGTAGGGGGGAAATAAAAGAGATACCATTTCCTTATAGACCACGTGACGTTCCTAGACTCATTTCTGTAAATAGAATTAGTAAAAATGGAAAATTTGATAAAAACAGCCGAGGATACTTCACTCGTCGAATGCCAAATTCGAGGCCGTCATACGGATGCGGAAGATGAGAGAGGAGGCTGTAAATCGAATTTGAACGCTTGCTTATCACCAAATGTCATTACCATAGCGACTCTGTGTAAAGGTACGAATTTTGAAGTATTTTCTGCAATATAGTATAAAAATTTTATTACTGCACGTGATAGCGCAGTAAAAAATATATTTCAAGGGAAAATTGACCTAATTAATAATTAATTTTAAATGATTTTATATCAGTTTTACTCAAGTTTATTATCTCCTATTAATTAAATCTTAAATATTAACTTGATTGGTTTAATTAATAAGCCGTTTTAAACAAAATAGCAAAGAAATTGGCCTGCTACCATACATGGCATCATGGAGGACATAAGTACATTCTAGTTGGAGATTGGGAAAAGAAAAGAGAGGCTCGAAATTGCTTGGTTTGTTTTCTTATATCGTTATTTATTCATGTTAGATTATGCAAAAGGCTGACTGCAATGACTGATTGTGAGCAAAATACGTCCTATCATTAGTTAAATGAATTGAACGTAACAAATTGTAGGCTTTAAGTAATTGTCTTTCCCGCAATTCCTTCTATCAAAAAGAATTCCTTCTCTTTTTTTTGCTCTAGCTTAATCATCAATATAGAAAATGAATAAGAGAAAAAAAATTTACTCATTTCTTTAGTCTCTTATTTTTTTTCTTCTTCCTTTATTATACTATTTTTACCTTTCAGTTCACTTTAACTTAAACTGTAGAAAGCTATTACGTCAGTACAAAAGATTGAACATAAAAAATTTCAATTACTGCCTCCTTTTCTAGAAACAAATAATCATTTTAAAACAATGACAGGCGTAGCTATAATTTCTAATTTCTCTTCCTTTTTATTTTTAGCAAATTACTGAAAAAGGTAACACAATGACGGTAAAGACAGCACCAGAATGTAATATGGGTGCCCCTCACATATTTGGCCAACCTATAAACATAACTCTTCATTTACATAGAAGTTTGTATATTCTATTTTTTTAACGAGACTATAAAATATAAGATGTAGGCTAAATGGTTTAAATTTTTATTGATATTTCTAGGAAAATGTCATAAAAGGAAAAGCCGACAAAAGGAAAAGAAAAACCTAAAAAAGAGCGGTAATGAGAAACGTTCAGAGTTAGAAGTCTATATGGATACTAAAACACCTGAAAATAGTGCCCCCTCACGGACTTTTCACCATCTATCTATCGCCATCTGCTGGTTGACGTACAGACTGTTTTAAAACGAAAAATCTATAAATAGAGCAATGGGAAATAACGTTAGAAAAGAAATATAAAGAAAACGAAGTTGTAAATTATTAATAAGAAGAGAAAGAGAAAATATAAAACGATATAAACTGCTATTTTTTCTTTTCATACATTTGATGTAAATATATATACAGTATATAAAAACTAAGTTATTAGTCATTTTCTTGCCGTTATTAGTTTGTTTCAAAAAGGAAAAAGAAGACAAAAATGACAATTGACAATTGTCAATTACAATAATTAAAAATTCACATACAGAATTGAAAAGGAAATATCTAAAGCAACAAAAGACAAACTAACATTTTTGTGTAATTTTCCCTTTATAACCAAAAAAGAATTCAATTATGTTGTAGTGGAAAGAAAAAGAAGCTGTGACTTAGAAATTTCATATAACTGATATATGTATAAATAAAAGTGTCTACTTTAATTTTATCAATTAATTAAGAACGAAAGATAAGAGTACAACATTCCTTTTTACCCTTTTCCCTTTTATTTGTTTGTTTTATTAAAATCTTATTTATGGAGCATAAAGAAGAAAATATATAAATATGAATGTAAAAACGTGATTTTTTCTATTTTATATACAACAAAATATTTTATATATAAAGAAATAAATCATACATATATACAGTTTATTAATAAATAAACAATCTTATTAAATTGTCTCTTTCTTATTCTATTCATTTACCATCAAATTTTAATAATAGTAAAAATCCTAAAAGTAGAAAGCATGTTTGAAGTGCAAATATTGTAACTCCATTACCTAGAAATTCGAATATTGGTAAACCTCTGATTCTATCTAATTCCAAATCTGGAATTTCATCTATACAATCTTTGTCTATTTGCGTTATATTTGGACATTTAATATCGGAGGTACTAAGATCGTTAAATGAAGTTGGATTTTCTAAATAAGAGAGTAGTTGTCTTGGGGTTATTATAAAAAAGTTTCTATATTGTTTATCCTGTGCTCCTTTACGAAGAAATTCAGCTATTCCGTCAACAATCAGTGGTCTTTTTATTAGATCTCTTATATTTAAATGGATTATGAAAGGAGCTCTATTAGTTTCGTTAAATTTTAGGAAATGTTGAAAAAGTACTTCTACAACATGAGTTTCATTATCAAATTTGCAGTGTTCGATTGTTGCACAAGTTTGTTTAGTTAGATTGTCTTTTATTTCAAAAGCTGGAAATTCCCATATAGGATAAGACTCTTTTGGACACTTCGGTTTCCAGCATATTTTTCCTTTACACATTGGCATACCACATTCACCAGTTTCCCAGGCTATCGATGTATTTAGCTTATAAGGCCATAAAGGTTGATTGAATTTCTTGCTCCAAGGATAGACGGTACTGATATCATAAGAGATATCCATCTCGGATAATGCTTGATATTGAGCATCACCACCAATAGCAAAATGGGGCGCTTTTGCTCCTTTGACTTCAACGTTATTTATTATACTTTTTATGTCGTTTAATTCGTCAAACCATTGTTCTTTTGACGCGTGAACCCAAAATGGAGGGGGCCATATATAAGATTTACTCCCAGCAATTATTTCGTGCCCTCTTATAGCTATATCTTTTAACAGACACTCATCAGTCTTTGATCTCGTAACAGCAATAGTAAGTCCAGCCGAACATAAACCTAGGGGTGGTTGATTTCGTCGCCTGGTGGGCATAATTCTTCTTAAAATGCTATATGATTTGTAGTCGATTTGTCCCTCAACTACAATAGAAATAAATTGTGGCCTATCTTCATCACATATTCTCTTTCCATATAGGCAACATTTATCATCTCCCGTACATTTTTCGTGTTTCAAGCTACAATTAAAATTAAATAAAATACAAAAGAAAACGCTTAAAATAAGGATAGGAGACATATTCCTCGACTTTCGAAAGTAGAAATATTAGAGGAAGTAAATTGCAATATTAGATCAATATTTATAAATATGAAATCCGACAGGTGGCGTTCTTAGTGGTAAGTTGAACGCTTGTGTCTATTTTGAAAAAACAAGTGTGTACGTGACCTCACTGTCCTCTAGATACGTTTAACATTTCATACAATATAAAAAATAGAGGAAATAACATGATAATAGATACTTTAGAAATAGTGTTCTCTCCTATGAACAACTTCTGAACAATGAGCACTACTAATAAACTTATGAATATAAGTAAAAGAAAAGTAGTAAAAGATAGAAGAATAGAATATTTAGATAAATCATATATGTTGTTTACTTATAAATAACTGCGAGATTGATAAAAAATGGAATCATTTTTCCTATCTTTTTGCTGGTTTCATACAGCATATTTAAATTAATATATAAAATGAATTGATTAAAGGATTACGCAATAAAAGATTAAATTATAAAATCTATAATTATATCTAATTATAAATGCTAAGAATCTATTGCATCAATCATAAATCGGTATTGCTTATTGCTATCGTTATTGTTCGTGTAGCAAAATGTGTTCATTAGTTGTTAATCTCATCAGGGAAACTAAATAACAATACAAATATATTTACTAACCCATTTTCTTTAGTCTATTTCCTACAAAGTAAAGGCTTCCTTCTACTACTTTCTTTTGACTATTTTGTCATCAATATATGCACAATCTTTTCTAAAAAATACAAAATTGGGGATTGAATATTATAATAAAAGAGTCTTATAAATTCTAAAATAAACGAGCGCTATGAATTCTATTTAAACAATTCTGTGTTGTTAATTCTTAATTATTAATTAGATGGTTTAAGATGTCAACTGTATCAATTTTAAATTGATGCAAATTATTCTTATTATTAGTGTTCATGTAACAAATTATACTCATTAATTGTTAATTTCTTTATACGAGAAAGAGTTGGCAGTTTAAAGAAATCCTTAACTGCTTTCAAAATAGAAACAGGAAGAAAAAATAGTATTAGAATGTAGGTTAACTTGTGAATATCAAATGGATTAATCCTTTTTCCTATTGTATCGTTATTAGAGAAAAGATCTTAACGCTATTTTTACTGCTACGAAGAGTGTAAAGTTTAAGTTAAAGTGAATGACTTGTCAATTGGAAAGAAGGAAAGACTGTACATAGAAATTGGGCTTTGAGATCAAGATTTATAAATGACGGAGCGTTAACCTAAGTCTTACCTATTTGACTAGTTCGTGACGATAATTTACAATAAAATACAATTAGATATTTTTCACCTACGATACAAGCAGATTATTGAAGCGTGTCCTATAAAAATGGAGGATATCAAGTGTTAATTCCAAAAAGATCCTAAATATCAGTTTGATTCTAACGAAATTATCTACTCAAAAATAGAACAAAAATACAGTATATGTATATTTATAGATATTAATATTTCTATTTTAATTGACTGGTTCTAATTTTTAATTTCCATTTAATATCTACAAAAGATAAAAGAAACTATAAATGATAATTGAATAGTGTTTTTCGAAGAATATTGATTAAAATCAAAAAAACAAAAGAAAAATTAAATTAACACATCTGCTTAATTGTCATCGTGAATTTTTATTGTAACATTCTTTTATTACATTACAAATTTCGACTTTACATCTATAACATATGTTTATAATTGCTATTAGCCATAATAATAGTAATAATAATAAAATATGCAATTAAACTTGAGTAAACTAATGTTTTTTTATACTTGAAATTAGACTGTACATTATATTTTCTCCTTCTTGTCTCTGTTGCTTTCTTCTTCTTTTTTCTCCGGTTTCTTTATAATGTGTAAATGTGCATCAGTTTGATTAAGTAGATAAATTAAAGATATAAGCTTCGTCTATTCTTTATTTATGGTCCGTGATATTCTAAAGGAGGAATCCTTAACATTAATTGAGTATAGCTATCTAATGGATGCGTTGGCATGCTGTTAAAAGAAAATATAATATTTATTATTATTTATTATATAAGAGTATTGCATTATTATCAGAATATTTAAATTATCGTACTTTTCAGGTTGTAGTGTAGGTGGTGGTGGCGGCGATATATTTTGAAACAACGTTGAATTGTTATTATTAGTATTATAGGTTGGAGTTGTTTCCATTATGGTTGGTTGATTATCTTGACGTTCGCTAGTTGTTAAAAAGTTACTAGGTATTGGTTGATCAGACATTTCGGCCGATAGCTTTTGCTGCCTCAACAACCAAACTTGATTAGCCATAACTCTTCTATGTTGACTAATAAGTCTACATTTTTCGCATTGACAAAACTGATATTTGCAGCTATTCTTGTGATACTTCAAATATGCAATTTCATTATGAGCTTTACATCTCTGACAGAGAGGCTTTTTTCGGCGCTTTGTCATCCTGATAATAATTAAAATTAAATAATAAAGATGAAAGAATTTATCTCGTAGTTTAACTTACTCTTCGCCATCTAAGCTATTCGATTCTAGAACTATTCAGTGGGAATAAGAACAAGATTAAAAACCGAATAATAAAATGTTTTCTATGTATATTCATATATACCTGATCCCTCATCTTCATTATCAACTGTTAAACAGCTATCAAAGTTTTCTCTCTTCTGTTTCTTTTTCAAAGCCAACTGAGTGATATTTCTTTCAATAATAAGAGAACATTTAGGACATGTACAATGTTGAAATTGGCATCGCCATTTATGCCCTCGCCTCAATGAGTCAACGCCATGATTCCTACACCTTGAGCATTTAGTTTCCCGTTTGTAGTTCTTTTCCATATTTTCCGACGAGGAACTGCTACATATAGGAAAATTTTTTAAGACGCAAGTATATTATAGACGATTATATTAATAAAGAGAATAAAAATATATCAGATATGAATATTCATAGAATTAATGATACGGTACTTGCACGGTCAGTGTTTCTTTCTGAATGCTAATTATTATCTACACATAATTCAGTTGAGGTAATTAATAATTTCAATATAATTAATTAATATTTAAATTTTCTAAACTTAAACCTATCTTGATAAATTTTCTATCAATTAACTAAATTCGCAGTATACGTTAATATAGTTTTATCGTTAATTTAACAATAAATTTAATAAAATTACAATTTAGAATAATACAGCCTTCAAGGCTATATCAAGGCTCTACCTACATGTTTTTTTACTATTTACGTTTTCAAGGCTAACTTCATCTATTCAAAAAAAAATGAAATCGTCTGGTGCGCAAAACCGAAGAATTGTCTATGATGAGCAAATGTATAGAATTTTTTTTTATAGAAATATATCGGTCGCTTGAATGTTTTTCTACTAATATTATACTCTACTAGTTCAACTAGAACGTAATATTTATTTTAAAAAATAACATTTCCGACTATCTTAATCTATCAATATTTACTAAGTGAAATATCTTTTCAACGTATAAATCATTAAGTCTATTAAACGTTTGTAGTTAAAACAATTGAAAATTAATTAAGATATTTACTTAAGCTAAACAAAACAGTTCGTCCTTCAAATTTCATCTACCTGCCGCAGAGAGAAATGTTTCTCTTAGTGATTGATTCTAATAAAGAGAATGATAACTGTTGCGCCCTCTCTCCTAATATTGATAATTTATTATTCTTATTTATTTATATAAGCTGATAATTTTTTTAAGTAAGCTTTTAAAAAAGAAAGAAGACAAATTAATGTAAGTATATGCAATTAGGTCAGGTTATATACACATTATTAAACTGTGATAAAAATAAACTAAGGAGACTTTACTGTCAAGAACAAGTTCTAAGCGTGTAGGAACTTGTCAAACTATTTCGAGCAGTTTTTTTACTTTCCATTTACTGTTTAAATATATCCTTTCTACTCCTTACTAGTAATGATAGAATTATAAATACGCTACATTGAGAATTTAAGTTGAGTTAGAGAAAAACTGCAGTTAAGCAGGTTTTTTTTAAAAGAAAAATGAGAAAAGTTAAAAAAAAAAGAAACTTGAAAGAATCTGATTCAAGATTAATAAAAATGAGATAATTACAATTACCAAAAAATAAAAGGTACAACAATGAAAATCAGTAGATTATGAGTTTTTTCGGAAATTGTTACAATTTGTTTTTTTTAGGTATATTTTGTCAAATGTAACACTTTTCCCTTTAATAGTGGCCCTTTTTTTTCTTTATCATTATTCTCTTCTCTTCTGTATTTTTTACTATCCACATACAAAACCTATTCACCTATTTATACATAAAGTATTTGTATATATGCTAATATACTAATAAAATACTGTTTTATATGTAAAATTGTACATGATGTATAAAACATATACTGTATGTTATCATGTATACGTTTTATGAGTTATATTTTATTTGTTTATTATACACTTTAATAGTCCCGACACTTGACAAATTTAGAGTAGTTACTACCTTTGTGAATTATTTAAATAGACTTTAAAACGTAAATATTCATTTAAAAAGTTAAAGATATAGATAAAACCTATATCGAAACTGATAATCGAAAGAGAAGAAGGGAGGAGAGAGATACAAAATAGAAATTGTATAAAAAGTGAATATAAAGAAAAAGCACACTTCGAAAGAAAGCAGTTTTAGGAGAAAAGTTGAATAGATTGAAAATAGAATTTGTTACTCTTAAACTTGATGAAAGGTTGTTAAATTAAAATGCTTTTTTTATCGATTTATGTCCAATAAATGAACATTAAAAGTGAAATTGCTTTAAAAAGGTAAACAATTATTAGAAATTAATAATTTCTAATAAAAAGAGATCTACTTTTTTCTATTGTTGTTTTTTGTTTCTATTTTAGTTTTACATCATTAGTTTTGTTTGTTGTTTAGTTATTTTTAAAATTAGAAGGAACTTGACCATTCAATATCAATTTACTGTTTAATTTTGGCTTATTAAACGATATTATTTATAAAAGCTATTACTTTTTAGGAATAAAGTTTATATAAAATAATATATTATATGATAAATACGATTGGGTAACGTACCTGTCGTTATTGTCCTCGGCGCTGGCTGCTTTACGTAAAAAAGTAGAAATTATTAGTATTCATTAAAATATAGATTAATGATATTAAAATTATAATTACATTGGTTGCTAAAATTTTTTTCCTCGTATGAAACAGTTTCTTGTTTTCTTAATGCCAACTGCATGCTTATACGTTCAGAGACAATAGCACATTTCGGACAAGCGCAGTACCGAAATGGACAGGTCTTTTTATGTCCTTTGAGACTCCTCTCTCGACCATGATTTCTACACCTTGTACATTTTATTTCTCGCTTTCTTGACATAATAACGATAAATATTTCTATATGTAAATAAAAATACTTTATCTTTTCATATTCGATACAAACAATCTTAAAAAATAAAGGAAAAGAGCCAAAATGAAATCAACGCAGTTATACGTTTAATCTCTTTGCAAGAAGTGATATCTTTTGTGTCTATGTGAATAATCGCCTAAGTATGCAAGCCTAGCAGGCAAATGTATATTCAATAGTCCTATATTCAAGAAGGCCTAAGGATTCAATGATTGTTATAAGCTGAACATAACATATATAACTATTTCTTAAAAGAAAAGTAAAAAACAGGCTTTATATAGTTTGCTTATAGCAAGCGAATAATATAAAGGTCTATTTGCGAATTTTATTACATATAGCTAATATTAATTAACATAAATAAGATTTGATCTATCTGATTTAAAAGAGAAATATCATTTAAAATATATGTATATTTATAATATTTATGTAGTTTTAGAGTTTCTTGTCGGGAATTATTTACAAAATATTACACAATGGCCCAATAAACGCGCTATTGGTGTAGTTACAAGGACAAAAAATAATAATTTATAACTCCTTTTAATTTTCTCTTTTACTTAAAGAAAGCCTTTTTAAAGTATTGTTTTGTAATAAAGTTAGGATTGTATATTTGCAGGACTAACAATAACCTATTTAATAAGAAAAATACTAAAAAAGTTAGAGTGTGTAGTGCTGTTGTATATATTATAAAATTTTTATTGATTGTTATTGAGAAAACAATGACAGGTAATATTGGCTCGTAATTAAATTTGAAATAGTAAATACTTACGTTACTATCTTATTAACAATCTCTGTTTAGTAGCGTTTCTTTAATGAAGAATATGCAGAAAACAACACTAGCTGCCAATTGTTGACTAGCAAAGTAGTGAAATTATAACAGAAAGTTTTCTAATATATCTCGGTACGTTGTAATACCCTCTTTTTTTCGAAAAGTAATGTCACGTGTTAAAAAGAACCTTCACATTAATACCTAGTAATTCTTGTACGTGTTCTTTTGAATTTGACTAACTTACTCCACTCTGATAGGAATTTACACTATCTAAAAATAAAATAGCTTATTTATACATTTTTAGTTATAAACAGTACAGACTATTTGTTTCGTAGTTAAGTAAGGGAGGCTTGCCATCGAACTTTAACCTAGTCAAAAAACCTTTCACCTTGGAGAAATTTTGTTAAATGGTTGTTCCTATAGAAAAAAGACCTTTTCAGAAAGAGTAAATTTTTATTCGTGCTGTCGAAAATCAACAAAATTGTTCTTTCTTTTCTCAAGGCTACGCTTTTTTTAACTTTTTTTTCTTTCTATTTTATTTTTCTCTATATATTGATAAACTTATAACCTAACTTTATCTTTTCTATTTATTAACGTGTTTGCATTTTGGGAAAACCCAAAGCGAAGAAAGGCTTCTTAATCTCCTTAATCCTTTTTGTATATTCATTAACAAAAGGTTTACTAAGAAAACAGGCGATTGCATCTTGGTAAGTTATAGCAACCTTTAAAATTTTCGCTAGAATTTGTTTTTAATAATTCTGAATGTTTCGTATTTCTAGAAAAAGTGTTCTTTCATCCATCAACTTTTTAAAAGGAATTAAATTTATTTAAATCCGATAGAGGGCGGTAGGTTGTAGATACACTTGCTTGAAAATTATTATTTTCAGAGCATTTATGATAGATATTAATTATTGAAGCAGAATGACTATGTACACTTAATATAACAAATAAAGAGCATAATGATGTCATTTTAGCTATTTTCCATTTAAGAGAGCATGCATTTACATAAATAGTTTATTGTATATATTGTTCATATATGAACCCGTATCAATAATATAATACATTTTTTGTTATAGAAATTGTTTTTTACTTAATCAATAAAATTTTGCATTTATGTAATCGGATTTATTGTTCAAATATTAAAAATGTATTATTATTTAAGAATGTTAGTAAGCCTTTTTTAAAAAGCGATAGTCTTAAATATTAACTATTTTTCGTGACTTCCTAGAAGAATACATACGGATAGTAACAATTTTCCCTGTTGTAGAAACAGCTTTGTGCTATTCAAGGAAATAAATATACAGTCAAAAATATTTTAAGCATATATGTTTATATATACATTATATATTTATAGTGTATATACTAAATATACAATTTATATGAGCATTAACTTTTCACAAACAGTCAGTATAAGGATTTATGGCTGTAATCAAAACATGAATAGTAAAATACTTCTGCCTTTTTGTCTTAGTCTCTAAGTATTTGTCAAGCTTAAATTAACCATATAGAAAGGGAAGATATTTGTAAAAAATAGCATATTTTTATTAATTTGGCAGCAAAGGATCTAGACAATAGCACTTTACTTGCTATATTTACAATTTACAATAACAAATACCTTTCAGTTCCCTATTATTGATGCAATCAGACTGATTACCATACTTATCCAATCGTTCAAAATTCTCAAGTAGAGTGAATTTCCTTGAATCATAGGAATAGCCTACCATAGCTTCGAAAATTCCAAATGATGGTTTAGCTATAAAAGTAATTACTAATTTAGCATACGAACTATCAGTTTTTGATTTTAGTTCATTTTCAGTTAATGGAACGCCATCTTTCAAAGATTTTAGCAGAATAAAAGCTTCAACAGCTCTTGATAAAGACATTGTTTTACATACTTTTTTCTTATCGTGTTTTTTGACAAGAGATCTCATTTTTGAAAATGCAAATGATGTAGCTGATCTAACAAGCTTATTTTCTGTTGATATCTTCATTTGGGTTTTACACAAGCAGTCTCTTTGTCTAAGTGGAGCAGTTTGGCACGTTCTATTATCTGGTATTATATTGAACAATGACTCTCCTCTTTTCTTGCCGTGTTTTTCATAATATAACTTCTCGTTATTCAAATTTAATAAATGATATAAAGTTTTATGAATATCAAAATAAGTAGAAAGTTTCTTTGAATTTAAACGCATATGCTCGTAGTAAGTCGGATACTTTGCTATAAAATCTCTGGGTGGAACTATTATCATAAATGGCAAATGCTCTTCGTATCTACCAACGTACGTTTGTCTGAATGTGCCATATCTTAGACCATGATCAGCGTAGAAAAAAAGAAACGAGTTTTTAAAAACATCTCTCTCTTTGATTTCCTGAAAGAAATGTAAGTAGTCTTTTTCTAAAGCTCCCAGAGTATCTAATCTTGAATGAACTGAAATCGCTTGATGAATATGAGCCCACCATTTTTGATCCTTATATATACTTTGATACTGCAAGACCCAATCGGTAAGAGCTTGGACGTTTGTTTTTTGACCAAAACATAGTGAACTTGGCGACAATTTACCTTTCGACGCTGCATCAGTAAAAGGTATTCCCCAATAGTCCATGGGTTGGTTTTTAAAGCCTCTGATAGCCGACTTAAACATAGAAAATTGAGAATCATCTTCGCTAAATAGAGTCACATAACCTTTATCTGCAAAATCTTGAAATGCAAATCGATATTTATCTAAATAGGGTTTAGAGGAAAAACCCTTCCACTCTTGTACCCATTTACCCCTAAGCATAACACCAATATTTCCAAGAGTGTAGCCAGCTACTTTGATAAAACCCTCATAATCTATCGCATTTAAATCTTTAAGCAAATAATCGTAAACTTTCGGCATATATCGTATTAAATTATTTCTAGACGTCGAATCAATTCCGACAAATAATAAATTATAAAGTGAGCTTTGAGATTGATTATACAAGGCCTTGCCTCTTTTCCAAAATACATTGGTATGATAATTCTCATATAATAAACTAGAATTCCGTTGACAGATAACTTTCAAAAATTCAATTTTTTTCAAAGGAAGAGAGTAGTTAATCTTTAAATCAATAGGAATTGCTGCACCTAATGAAAATCCAAAATCTGTTTTCGCTTTTCGGGATATTTTATAGTATTTACACACAACACCACGTGAAATTAAAGCAGTTCGATCGTCTTTAGATATTTTTAAATGCCCATCTTCTACCCATGTGAAATTTTTTAATTTTTGTTTTTTTGTACAATCAGGCCTTGTCATTGTTGTAAAGTGCTGTTTTGCTATTGGGGAGAATGGAGCAATATACTCCACTTTGCATCCTGTTGTATTTATTAGTAGTCCATCTCTGATATTCACTTTTGTTAATAGAGTATTGTAAGAATCATCAATGGTTATTCCGTAATATGTAAAAGTCAATGTCATCAGTGCACTTACAATTATCAGCAGGAAAAGGTGCAATCTGAAATAGAGCACTTTAAGAAACTAACAAATAAGATAACCTAAAAAATTGAGCAACATCAGGTTGGTGCAGAAGTAAAGAGAAATATCGATTTATAAGCTCACTTTCTAGAATATTTGTGTAGCATACTCATTGGATATTTCTTTTAAATCAGATAACAGCCTTCCTGGTAATTTATTTTATTATATGATAAATCAGCTGATGATGGATAACTTCTTGGAATATGGCTACTACGCTTGCTTTTGTATATCCTTCTGAATTATTTCTTTAGTGTACTCCAAGTAATGTCCATGCAAAATGCAGCCTACTTTTTGCAATGACACCTGGTGTGGAAAACGAGAATAAATGTATATTTAGTAAAATATCGCTTCTTTGAGTTTGCCCTACATATAAATCAATAATAACATAATTAAAATAGATTAAATATAAATAAAGGCAATTGAATTATCTACACTTTTGTTTTTATTTAATAAATATCTATGTATAAAATAAATGATGACCTAATGTTAAAATCTTATAAATACTGTATATTGCTATGTTAACCATTTAAAAGAAAAAGATATTGGCTATTGTATTACCAAGCCATTCTTGTTTTTATTGATGATTCAAAGACGAGTTTTTTCTTGCGATGCCAGTTTTTTTTAGCGTTTTATTACTAATTTCCTCCATTTACTAATCGAAACAACTTTGTTTTATATATGAAAACATTGAAAATTCATCACAGATTCCTTATGAAACAATGAAAAATTTGTTGAAAAAATGCTTTTTATTTAAATTAATATATATGACAGCTGTTTTTTTTTTTTGCAGTATTCCAATTGTTCCGTTAGCCAGAGACTTGTTCAGCTTTTTCACTTCTCATCCGTAATTCCTCCTTATTTATAAACTTAAATCGGTCATAGATTGTATCTTTTAGCATGTGCCAACACGTTTTTAATTAGTGAAAAGTCGGTAGAATAGAATGGCTATTGCAGAGCATTTATATTTTTATCTTCGGAAATATCGTCTTTGCCTTATGGCAGGGTGCATTATCATGTTGGAAAATGAAGTCATCTGGTATTTTCTCATCAAAGGGTAAGGTCTCCTTTTTCAGTAAATTCAGGTACCATACCTTGGTACATTCTCTAGAATGTATTCCCGAAATGAAGTAAGGCTCCCCAGACCATTACTCTGTATGGTCAGATGCAGGGAACTATTTTGGAAAGATTTGTTTCCCTCTTTATTTCTTACTTAGTCTTTTTTAAGACTTTTTCATGCCTCCCTTCCTGACCACTAAACGAAAAATTTTGTTCTTTGAACCATTTTTGTGTAATATATAGGATTTAGACAGAAAGAAAATCAGCAAATTTTCAATAGTTTCGTAAGAAATCTATAATAAATTTCCAATGTTTTCAAATGTAAACATAGCTGTTTTGATTTGATAAGGGGATAAAATTAGTAATATCAAATAGGCATTGCACAAAGAATTTCGTCTGTAACTGAATACACTGTAGTATTATAATTAAGTGTTCTCAAAACTGTATTATACACATTTTCCATTATTTTTCGTAACTCTATTCAAAAGTATGTATATTCCACAAGCAATTAACACATTTTTACGAGTTGTAATATCAATCTGTTAGTGATAATTCTATCATTATTCAATTCTAAATACAAATTTGTTAAATCTGATCTATCTTATTTCAATATCAAATACTTTTAAATAATAAATAGAGAATAAATAATTCTTTGTAAAAACTCTTATTTCAGTTATTTCCTAAATAGTCATACTTTCCATAAAGTAGACTTTCTATTATAAAACACTGCATAAAATATATAGATAATAAATATTTAAAATCTCTAGCCTCTAGCATAACCTAGAATTACCATTAATAAGTTTGAGAAAGCTATTACTTTGGCGTCATTTTATAATCCATCTTTCAAAATCATAAACTATACCATTACACAAAATAGGATTTTTTCAGAAAAACGATTAAACTCTACAATAGAAATAAAGATAAAATATATTCCCATATGTGTATTTGTAATCGATCATTGTCGAAAACTGAAAATAGAAGAATACTAATTTTAGTCTTCAACTGCAAAAGAATGCAAATATGATCGTTTTAAATCATAAAATATTATTATTCCTCTATATAAACCAGTCGGATTAATATTCGCAATTCTGTCACGAGCCACTTTATTATCTATCGAAATGAGTAAGTTGTTCCTTATATATATATTTTTAGTAATATCTTGGATAGTATTATAATTTTTCCTAAAAACAAAGCTTTTAAAGAGTTTTTAGCTCCTACTTCATTCGAAAGAACATTAATCTCCTATTGTTTCAAAGACATTATACGCTATATGCTTTAATGCAATCTGTTTATGTTAGTATTATAAACGCGTCGCGTCATCACTATTTCAGCTTTGCTCAATATAAATATCTGAATAATTCAATATGGAATTCACTGATGAAATGAATTGATTAAAAAAGATCACTTTCATATAGGCAGAAAAGAGATAAATAAGAGTATACTAATAACTAATACTTATTTCCAATAATAGTTAAGTTTTATTGATTAATTATGAATTAATTTTTGTCCAGTAAATAGCCTAAACGTATTTTGCAAACTCAATGTAAGTTTCTTTCTGAGTAGATATCGTATAATTACCACCACTGTAAGTTTAAGTCAGCTCACGATATAAAAGCCACTGGACTCCACCTGTAACCGGTTCAAGTTTCGGTTATGGAGACTTTAAAGATTTGCAATTTCTTGAGAAGCTGAGCTGATACCAAAAGTTTTCAGGTTGATGTAGGCGAGTTGTGTCACTATTGAAACTAAGTTCAAGCCAGCACGACTGAGGTATAAAGCATATAAAAAGCATTCCTCATGCTTTATTCGAAAAAGTAGGCCACATATTTGTATTAAAAGCTGTCTGCTACTCAAAAACAGTAACACGTAGTGAAGACTATTGAATACCACTGCACTGAAAAGTAAAAAGTTGCTGAAGATAAATGTAATACAAATATGACATACAAATATTTGATGCAGCAAATAACATTATATGTTTAATTTTCTTTTTTTTTAAGTATACTCAGCATGGGTTTCAGAAATAATGATATATCTTTACTATAAAATCCTTTATTTTGGGAAATATCCCCAGACTATACAATAATTAAGACTTTAATCCTACAATTTCTTAGATTTATATTTGTATACTATACTTAGGCTATCTGTCGGATTATAGTATGAGGATTCACCTAGCTGTGTTTGTTAAACGTTAGTGCCATCTGTAGTTAGTTTAGGGTATAAAAAATGTTGAACAAAAAGCGAAATCGCCTGAAGGTTTTGATTATCGGTCTGTATCATTGTTTTAAAACAATGGTGAGTAACAGGGGTTAATTCGTATATTTATAGAAATGAAACAAAGAAAACAGACCTTTCCTTGTTTACCTTTAATAGTTTTGTTGTTTTGTTTGCTAAATTTCTGTAGTGTCTAGTTTTAAAAGTATCAAATTTTCAAAGGTTTTATCAGTAAGAAATTAAAGAGAGCTTGGAAAGTATATCGCGAATATTTTTTATTAATATTTTACTTGGGGATCATATCTAGCTTTAAGCAAAAAATATGCATTTATTACGTCTACAGACTTCTTATAACACCTTTTACCCATTGGCGTTATCGTTTAGTTTTTTACTCTCCTTTATTCTTTCTTCCCTATAGACTTATCCTTTTTCCAATATTTACTAATAGGAAAAAAGGTTGTAGCCTAGAGTTAAGATAACCTAGAAAAATTTCCTTTAAAAATTAACAATTGTAATAAGATTCCAAAGGTTCCAACAATATATGTTTGCCATACTAATACAGATGAAAATCTCCAAAAAGGTTCTATCCCTGCCAAAAATTACTATGGCATCTTTCCAAATGACCTTTTGTTTTTTATTAATGGTGTATTTTCCCCTTAAAATGTTTCTTATACAAAAAACTGTGTTTTAAGGCCTTTAATAATTATTTATATTCAACTAAATTGTTTAGCGAAAAGTTGATAAACAAAGTTTGAATAAACCCACTAAAGTACTCTAATGGAATCCTGAGAAAGTCTATAACCTCGAACCATGAGTACAGGTCTGTTATTCTTAGATGGTTTGAGATAGATCAAAGTTATGGAATTAGCTCATAGCCTAAGGACAATATTGCAGATTTTTTGCAAAAGTCTTTTATTTATTAGTATGATTGTTAAAACTTTAAAATAAATTCTAGCAGGGATATTTTAAAAGACTTTGTTATTTTCTTCCTAATATTTGTCGGCAATCATTACAAAGGACAAAAGAGAAGACCGATTAACACCATGCTATAATTTACTTCCCTAATTAAAAAAATGAGATAAACAAAGATAAATTCCTCTCTTTAAATGATTTTTTCCCCTAATATATAAGATTTACATGATAAACCTGTAATTTACAGTATGAAGAAGCTATTTTTAATTTATAATTATCAGCTGACTTATTAATCATAACTGTTAAGGGCTATGTACAACATCATGCTCTTTACATGGAATTAGAATCATGAATCACTAGACTTCATTCAGATGTCATTGAGTGAGATCAGAATTGTGAATTATTAATAGAAAATTAATTAACAATTAAATCATAAAACTCTGAAAGATATTCATATAGATTATTAGAATAAACAAAGATAATGAGATATTGATAAGATCGAATCATATTCCATTGTTTTTCATTTTTGACAATTGATTTGACCTGTCCAAAGTAGTTCTTCTTCTATTCTTCGCTTTTTTCTTTAATTAGCTCTTAATCCAATATAGATAAATGAAACTTGATAATACGTATTTTAGTGTCTTCTTTAACAATTAAACTGATATGATTAGGAATAAACTAGTATTATTTGACCAGTAACAATTAATAGAGTATTTGAATGTCGATTGACTTACATTTACATTGTTATGATATGTAGACTAACAAGTCACGTACTCATATATAAGCGTCTATGGCAACTCAATAATTTCCGGAAAGGATGTATGTTTGATAAAAGATAATAAATTCAAATTGCTGCCTCAGCAATGTAACCACAAAATAGTACCGTTATGTATATTTCGGGAAAAAATTGCATAATATGCAATCTATATAGCATTTTCGTCCAGCAGCGAATAGAGTAAGTTAATTGGCCTTTCGGATTAATTGCAAAAAACTACCGGTATTGCTTGTATAAACAGTCCAAACATAGACGCGTTAAATGGGATATAAATTTAGATGATAAAAAAAAGGAAGATTGCGCACCGTCACAACCACTATTAGTATT